TGCTTCTATTGATGAGTAAAATAAAGGTTTTTTGAAACAACGAAAAACACGGACTGCGAATACATACCTGCTGGTAGAGTTGATCCGACATGCTCAGATTCAGGCTCAGGATCTATTCAGGATCTTTTTTCGTTGAAAGATTTGACAAAAGTTTTTTTTTTTTTTTAATAGAAAGCAACTAACGTGAATACATACCCTCCAAAATCTGTTCCGGCATCTCATGTTGAGGCAGCTTAAGATCTACATTGATTGATATAAGTTTTTTTTTTCAACACAACGCAGTTAAAGCAAACACACACATAGTAAGTGTGGCTCAATGGTCACAAATTTAGGCACGATGAAGTCTGCATTGATGGATATAGAGATGTTTAATACAACGCATTCTAACGGTCACAATTAATTAATATAATATGTTTTTATATATAATACAATAAATATCATACAATAATAATTATGAATAAACATGTATGTAGATATGAGAGCGGAATATACTCTTAGATGTTTAAAGGACACGTATGCCTGACGGTGCGTTGTTTTTTCTTTCTCGAGCTTGGCCATCTAGCAATAATAAGCAGTCGTTTGATCAATACATATGGCTTTGGGCTAAATAAAGAGCATCCGTCGATAACGGTTTTTCTTTGCCCGAATGCATCGTATCTTCACTGCGGATGAAAAGTGGAATAGCTTTGGCAATGCAAGAATATTCTGTGTTCGGTTGGACTAGAAGAGGGTAGTTAGTTATTAGCTGTTAAAGTCTGGCGAAGCAGTTTATGTCGAACTTTACCAACAACAATTAATCGATTTGAGTTGCTCATCACTTCAAGAAAGGCAACGAAAGATCACTTTTTACCATGACACCCGTGTGTCTATCAGGACAGCAAATAGCAAAACATGTTCGAGAAATGTTGGAAGCAGTCAGTTGGAAGAGGAATTTAGTGTTTTTCTGTTTTACTACACTTTGTTTTTGTTTTTTATCTACAAGGATTTTATCTACAAGGTGCGATTTTGCTTGTTCACCACACTCGAATCCTTCCGATTACTGCTCGTTTGCGTCGATGTGGTATGCACCTGCAGAGCAGGGCGTCGCTTTTTGCGAAAGTGTACGAACATGGCTCGATAGTTCGAAAAGCCTTAAAAGAAAAACAGTGCAGCAAAGAGCGATGGGCAATATTTCGTAGAAAATATTTTCTTTATAATTTCCATGCATTTTTTTTATACAAAAATTCCGATTTCATATTTACATGCTTGGGTAAATAAAATATTCTCGTTACACACATAAATATATAAGCACATGTATATATAAACAATATCACGATATAGCAAAAAACTGGTGAGAATATTACTCGTCGGTAAATAATTTTGTAAATGTAATGATTGAACATGTTATTATATTACTTATTGTTTGTATTATATTACATATATTATTGTATATTATTATTATTATTATTATTATATTATTATATTATTGTATTATTATTAAGAAGTTTTGTAAGTGTGTTGCGAGAGGAGTTCTAGTTATTATTACTATTATATTATTATTTCACTTAACCTATTTTTTATATTTTATTATTAAATTATATATATTTATATTATATTACATTATTTATATTCATATTATATTATATTATATATATTTATATGGAATTTATTGCAAACGATAACTTACGCGGTCTTTTAATCATTATTGTTATTATATTGTTATATTATTAGTGTATTATTGTTGTATATATTATCATTACGTATATTATTATTATTAAATATATACATTATTATATGTTGAATAAGGAATTATCAACCGACCAATGAGCCATACATAAATTTTTATAATAAGAGCTAAAGATGCCAGGTGCATCTTGATATGCTTTCTCAGCTCCTAATAATAGCTTTATCATCCGATTCGCTTAAAGATGTGCGAAAACAAATCGTTGGGGTGATCGTTTGCCATTTAAACTCAACTAAATTCAACAATTATTTTTGTTTGAGAGGAGGGAGTACATCTTGTGAAATATATATTACGTAATATTGAACTTATACACGTTACGACATTATTAAGATATTTATTATTCCACTTGCTACAGAGTAATAAGTTATGTAATAAGAAAATACAATTTTTGAATGGGTTTAATTGCATTATGGAATACTTGATTAATTTTATGTACTTTGGTTTGGTGAGGTTCGATTCAAAGCGCATGAGGGACGCCGAACTGGAACAAAGTGCATGAAATGTCCAAAGATCGCAACCTTTATTACAATCTTATTAATTGTTTGTTTCCTTCAATTTGTGGAAATGATGAAGTGAACCGAGGCATATTATTACATTGCATTACATATTTTGCTTATATTACATATATTTACATATATTTTTATAACATTTACATATGCAGATATAAAGTCGTGGGGAAGCTGACTCTCCGCGACAAAATAGCACGAATGCATTTCGCCGAAGTATGTACAAACAGAATGGCAGTCTACAACCGAGCAGAGGACAAACTTGTCAGATATGGATACAACAACAGCAGCGCTACGAAGATCGGGGAACACCAAATTGTCCTCGTCTTCGGAGTGCGAAATCTGTTGACCAATTTGAACGTAATACCCAACGGCTACCACCACAGAAAGTTACCATTGCCGAAAAATTAGAAGAGAATCTCCAACTTGCGCAGGAGAGTGATTTGTATGTGAAGGCTGTTGTCTGCGACAGAAAATGCAGCAACAAAAATATTTTAGGTAATTTCTCAAATGAAGTCTACAACAAAAGTCTACAACAGACGGCAGCACACATCACATACACTTAATATACTACACGCACAGCTTGAAAGGTTTCGGGGGTAAATTGAAAGGTGCAACAAGTCACCAAGCCATGTACGACCAGTCGATATTTTTAAAGCTGGCGCAAACGAGCTCTTCTGCTAGACCTTTGCTAGGTACGAAAGCGATTTTTAAATCGTCTATGAACAAAGCAGTTATACGAACAACGCAAGTCATTTGATTAAAGGCTAAGGACGTGGCTATCTTTATTAGGACTCAAACAAGTATCCGCTATTTCGTCGTTCGTATATCGGCCGCCTTAAACTAGATTAACTCAACTTAACCTTAACAAAAGCAGGCGAAAAATGTGGTACACGTTTGTTTATTCAGAGATGGATCTTATTTTCTTAATATTTTCATTTCATTTTATTCGCTATCAAATTGTTATTATCGTCTTATTGGTGTTGAGACGTATGCATTTATTCTCAGAAATACCCATTTGCATTTCCTCTAAGATCTTTTCATTCTTTATAAGAAAAATATCTTCTACTGCAGATACCGTCGTTCGAAACCGAAGTATATGTGTGTAAAAAATAAATAAAGTAAGGCCTTGCATTGATTTTCGTATTAATTTTGCAGTTGTTAAATTTCTACTTCAGTTCAGCTACTCATAAGCGACGTCAAATATTTACTTAAGTCAAATAACAATAAACGATGCCCTAATATATGCGTATATTCAACCAACTTTATATAAAAGTAAAAAAAGCAAAAGCCGCTAAACACAATATATAGTATTAACACAAAAATAATAATATTTTTATTTTTTCTTTCACTTAATTAATTTGTTTATTTAAAAACAAAACAACTATAGTAAAGTTAGGCTTCAGTCTGTAAAAGTAGAGAAAAATCAGAGGTTAAAAGCAAGTGACGATCGATAAACATTTCAACTTCGCATAGCATAGAGAGATAAAGATGTGCTCATATGCGCACAGTATATATACGAGTCAAAATTTTTTATTTATCTTAGAATAAGCAAAAAAAAAAAAATAAAAAAAATAGCTTAAAATTTTAACTCGAATACTGAGTACCCAACACATTAGGCCCTTAACAGCTATTCAAAAACGGATGACATTTGAGCCCGGTTTTGATTATCTTGAATATGTTGGCTGCAGTTAAAGGGGTGGCAAGGAAGGTCAAATGTAAAGCAATCAACTTTAAATTATTTTTAGAACATTAAGAAAGTGATCCTACAAAACTTTGCCGACTATACTTGCAAAAATATAATGAAACCCGTAAACGTGCACTGTCAAGATTGTGGCACTCAATGATCTATCATTACGTTCTATCATATAAAATATTCCTCTCGATTACTTTTCAGCAAAGAAAAATATGATGCAATTAATCAAATTAGAAATTTCTTTCTTAAATTTTACTGTGAGTTTATTGCGAGACATCATTTTTAATTATATTAAAGCTTTTCCAAAGTTTTCATACGTTTATTATATAAGCCTTTGATGTCCAGCGTCTGCATCTGCTTTGATCACTTAATCAGACTAAGTCCATAGGCTTATTTTGTAACTTACAAGCGATTGCCGCCGGCCTTCAGCTTGCAGAATAATCCTGCAAGTGAGATGGAGTGGCAGATATGAGAGTCTGGGTATGATCCAAATCCTCCCCTCTGGGCAAAGCGTGGCTTACCCGCACCACTATTTACTTAATGCCACCGTAGTTGAGGATCACATTTATTAGGAATTGATTTTCCTACCGTACCATCTACACCCCTCTAATATTGGTTCACCAATTCATTCGAAAAATGTTAAATAAAAAATCAATATCAAAAAGTATACTTGACTGTAGCTGATATCGATACCATTTATGTCGCCTATATCCGGTCAAAGTTAGAGTATAACTCCGCAGCTCTCCTTAAGAGATCCACTCCTTCATTCTGCAATTGCTGACGAAATCTTATAACCGTATCTTGTGTATCTTGTAATTGGTAAAATCTTTGTCCAATCCGAATATCGATGCTACGGCCAGTCGTCAGAACAAGTAGGCTAAGCATCTAGACTGTGTTTAAGCGGAGCTTATAACAGCTGTTATAGTAATGGTAACATTAATAACGTTTTTGAACACAATATACATATGTACGTAAGAAAATTATCGATAAAAACATTTCGCAGCTTTCAAAAACTCTCTGATATTCTTTCACTTTTCCAAATCTTCCAAAGTTGTTTCTGATCAAGTGCCATCTATTTTCAAATAACTTGTATTGTAAACCTTTCAACTGAGTTTCATTTCCATGGATCCAATTAGACAAGTCTAACAGCAATATTCTCAGGTATGTCCGGGAGACTTGAGAAGCGTTTCTTGAATTGTTTGATTTTCGCGGCTTGTTTGGTAACGAAACTCATACTGAGGATATTGCCCGAGAATACCAAATATAATAAGCCACAAAGTTTTGAACAAGCAAGCCCAGTTGTGTCCTCTTGGTGGACACGTGGCGTGTCACAAAGTCAAAGTGTGTCTATAAATGTTACAAACTAAGCAATAAACAATTATTCTGTCGATGATCACTACGAAAAATGTAAAAACCATAAAAACCATTAATAAAGTTAAACATTTAACAGGTTACTGCTCCCAGTAATTGTTCCTACGAAAGTTGCCGATAATTTTTATAAATACCGGCTGATTGAATATTATAAACGACATTACGCTTTAAACCTTTAATGTGTTAAAATACGCCTTTGAAAACTTACAGTATATGTAAAAGCCGGAAAGAAAAAAATTGATTAAAAAAAGAATTGAGTAAAATTAGATAATAAAAGTTAAAAATCCTAAAATCTAAAAAAAAAAATTGTGTTTTTTCTATATATTAATGAAATTATTTGTATAAATCATGTTGGTGCGCAAAGTGGTGAGTTTGACGTGTTTGAAAAAATAAAGAAGCAAATTGCTATAATAATTATTTCCTACCAATTAAAGTAATCTACAAGGCATCAATTTGCGGAGTTTACCTAGCGCCTCCACTTGTTGATTTTCAGCGCATTCTATGCCCGATTCGATATTAACCTCTGTGTTATAAGACTCCCAACCTTATGGTTCACGTAAATTATTCTTATATTGCCTTAAGTTTATAAAGTTTTGCTGAACAATAAATTATTAACAAAAATTTGGAGAAACTCCCCATGTATATAAGGGAAGGGTGTTTAAGGCAAATATAGCATCAGTTGTCCTTGCTGGTGCTTTTTTTTGTTGCAGCAGATTGACGCAAACAATTCTTTTTTTTTTTTTTTTTGTCTATATACTATAAGTTTTATTAGTGTGGACCGATCTCTTTCATTTTCACGCTTGATTAAAATCTCTTATTCTCGGTTTCCGTCTCAACTGCGAACATACACTATATGTCTAGTTCTTGTTTTAACAATCGCAAGCATTGCAAAAATATGAAAAATACAGCTTTGCCCTGTTTAGTGATTAAAAAATTTACTCTATAAAAAAAAAAAGCAAAAACAAAAAATAGTTTCATCCTCCTCATAACAAATCACATTGTTTTCGCTTGTTTTTGTGTTAAGTAAATTACTAAAGCAAAATAAATATATATATATATATATATATATTCAAAACTTATTGTTTGTTTTTATTAGAGCCAAAGTGTTAATATCTTATATAAAGTCATCTTTAAAAAAATTACTTGGGAATGTGCGCGCGTAAGTTATTCCGCCTCTGCTGTAAAACTTTTATTAAAGAGGAGCGGAGACATTTTTAAAAACGAAAATATTCAAAATACTAAATAAATAATACAAGTGTCATTTTTGCTAAACTATGAAAAAAAACATATTGCTATGGTGTAAGGACCGCCTTGAAAGTAGTTAATTAAAAGATGGTTTTTTTTTTTTTTGCTTTTGGTTAAAATCTTTAAAGCAAATTTTATATTTTTATATATTCATGGACGTAATTTGTCTAAAAATCGTATTTTTATTTGTTCGCTTGACAAGCTTGACAATGCTTTTTTCCGCAAAGCAAGTTAGTTGGCATTGATATGTTGATGCTGTGTTTTTTTCTTCGGCGCGGCTTCCGAGCGAAATTGTTTCAATTCAAGGGCTTAAGGAGATTTGCAGACTGATTCGTGCGTTAAATATGAGCACCATTCCAAGCAAATTCTACAATGAATTTCATATATCTTGGGAAGGTTGACTAATGGATCCACTTCTTAAGCAAAACAGTAAATTGGTTCCTAGTTCTAATAACAATGTGGTTAAAAAATAAGGAAAATTTTCATTTAAAACGTAAAGTCCTTCGACGTAAAGATCATTCGAGACCTGAATGGATTCCCTTGGATATAAACGTAAGCAGTTGATAAGTATTATTACGTACGAGTTTAGCCAAATTTGCGATGGATTCGTTAACGAAAAAAACTTCCAAATTTATAGTAAAGCGATTTCTATCTTTTGCATCACAATAATCCATACTCTCTATGACGCGTCTTGTCCTAATTACTAGGTGGAAGAATATGAGTCCACTCTCCTTCTAAGAGATAATGTAAGACTTTTGTACCGTTGGGTGCCGAATAATACGCTAACTTCTCCATTCGAAAAGACATGCATTTAAGGTATACTCATCTAAGAAAACTACCACACCAAAGTGTACATAACATAGTTTCTTGGAGTTTTAAATAGGCGCAGTTCTGTGCTGAAAACACCCCCATTTGCGGGAAACTTTACTTTGCCTGCTTAATGCGAAGGACTCTGTTCTTGAAACCTTACGAGGGTTGAGCAATGAGTGCCGTATGGTATCCAAACCCAAATAATGCTGATGCGGATTAGGTGAATCATTAACATCGACGATAGAAATGAATTTTCGCGCCGGTCCTATTTTTTGAAAGATTAGCTGGGCGCTTTATGGTTTGTTCCAACCACATATAACCATCGTTAGGGAAGGTTACGAAGAAAAATTGTTGCGATTAGGATGAAAAATGGTAGCAATACGTCAAGAGTCATAATGTCGTGAGTTCGCAGTACAAGGAGAATGTTTGAAGTTCTACTTTGGAATGCTCTTATCCTTTCTGCTGCTGTCAGTACACGTTGCTCTTGCCGTGTTTCTACTCCTGTGACGATACCCAAACATAGATTTTTTTGTGAACTCTTATACAGAGAAGGGCAGAGAACATGGCCGAAGTCCATAGTTCAAATGTGGCGCACTTGATTTCCATGTTAAACTGCTACTATGGATCATTTCTTGCTGTGACATAATAATAAATACTAAACCATTTTTCCACAAAGGATCGGTTATAAAAAAGTTGGTTTGAAACGTCACCCAATCCGAACCAAATTTTTTACATCGTTTTAAGCCCCACAACAAAGAATAATTTGTAGTATTTTAAAGTGGATTGCCGTCCTTGGGCGACTACAAGATTTTTTCTTGCTTAAACCTACGTAGTGCATGAAATCAGCCTGAAAAGTGTTCGTTCAGTTTCACAAGCGAGCGGAATAATAACAATAATTTCATGCCATCTTTTATCCCTTTTAATGGCAAGTGAAATAGTAAAATAAGTATTAGCTAAGTTTTCACAATATGTAAAAATACAATCACAGAATCTTTAAATTCTAAACTTTTCCGCGTTAGGCCTCATAACACCTGGGAGAGTTTCATGACTGTTTCCTGGAATCATTTTGAATTTAATTTGAGTAATCGTAAATATTTGTAGATAAAAAGACCCTGTGGAAAAAATATACATTTAAACAAGAATTTACTGTTACGCAACCTATACTTTGTATTACGAGATTTTAGTACCTAATAACCCCGGTTTATGATGTTAGTGATAATACCTCTATATAATACAATAGCAGCATGTTATTACCCCCGTAGAGAGTGTTATGTAATTTTTAAAAAGAATTTTTAAAATTGTTCGTTTAAAATCCGAATCATTTCAATAGCGTTCGTCCTTGGGCCAAAAAATGTTGGAGTACCATATTTCATCGAAATAGCTCTAAAAGTGCTGCCTGTAGCTTGAACACAAAACACAAGAAGGACAAACGGATAGACAAGCTCAGATCAATTCAGAAAATGTCTTTGAAGTGATCGGCAGTAATAAAAGGCATTTAGTTTAGTGCTTACATCGGCATATATCTAATGTACCCTCGAACGGTGCAAAACTAACTAACTCAGTATAATTCTTTCTTTTAAGAAACTTGAAACTTCTTTATTGCAGTTCGAAAACGCTTTTAAATCAGAGCTTTGGGGTTTTGCCGCAGTCTCTCTTCTGGTTTTCATTGTCTATGTGCTCAGAAATTATTTAAAATCAATTATTCTAGCGCTAAAACTTCCCGGCCCTCCGGCGGTGCCTTTATTGGGTAATTGTTTATTAATTAAAGAAAAGGATTGTAAGTTTTATCCTTAGTTCAAAGCGATCTCGTCTCACAACATTTTATATAATTTTTCTATTGGCTTTGCAGTTTTGCGTAACACCGTTAGTACCGCTTTTGGTTTGTACGGTTCATTGATACGTGTCTGGGTTCTGTTTTTCCCCTTCTTCTTGGTCCTCCAGCCCGATGACTTGCAATTGATACTCGCTTCAAAAAAGCATACAAATAAAACATTTTTCTATCGTTTTATGCACAATTTCTTGGGTAATGGATTAATAACACGCAATGGAGAGCAATGGCACACACATCGTCGTCTAATACAACCAACTTTCCATTTAAGCTTTTTGGAACGTTTCATTAGTACATTTGCTGATGCCTCACAAAGTCTCTTCGAATCGTTAAATCCCTTTGATAATCAAGAGATTAACGTAACAAAATATGTCAATAATTGCGTATTGGATATATTGAATGGTAAGATATTTGCTAGAGATGCAAGACACTCTTCACTACAAATTGCGTTTTTATACTTTTTCAGAGGCGGTTTTGGGTATACCTGTGAAAAAAAAGAAATACTATACGGATATGGAAAAATCGCCATTTAGACAGTAAGTATTCACGAGCGAAACACCCTAGGATGTCCCATCCTTCTATTTACATTTAAGTTTTATACCCACCACCACTTGCCCCAAAAAATGACAAAAGAAGTAAAAGAACAAAATTCCCATGCCCTATAATATGGAGAGGGCGCAAAAGAAAAGTTTTTGTCGTAGAGGCATGCGGGCGTTGTAAGCGTGTCCTTTGAAAAGATTAGGTCAATTTCAAATTCTTTTGCAAGGTTGTAGGCGATATTTTCATTTTTGTGAACGAGAGAATGTTTACAAAAGATATTGCGCGGTTGCGCAGACGAGCAGATGAATACACGAACACGCTTAGGTATATTCCGAATTTGAAAATGGCCAAGAATTTATATACTTGATGGCGATTTTGAACTTTGCTTGCGTGCATTATAAAACTGAATATATGATAGACTATAAAATTAAGTAGGCCTGGCCGATTTGTTCCAATTTTTGTAGAGGTACTACAGCATTGCCCATAAAACAGAAGATCAAATTTTTGTAGATTTATCTGCTGTAGTTTATGACTAATGAGCACCAAACCAATTTTTAAGTTCTTCTGAAAAAGAGAGATATTCCCCATTTACGTAACATTGTAGGCGTATCTTTCGAGCGATTTGACCCGTTTTCAATATTAATTCATGTGCAAGCACTTTCAATATTTATGGCAAATTTGCAGGCAATAACTTCATTTTTGCAGCCAGATGCATGTTTGCAATAGAACTTTCACACACGGACAGATGGACATGCTTAAATCGATTTAAAATTTGATGCTGATCAAGAATATATACACTTTGTGGGATCTCTGGGCTTCCTTCTGCGCGTTGAAAACGTTTTGACAAAATGAATATTTCCCTCGTACTACGGCGATGGGTATAAAAAGTAATCGCGGTGCCTACCGTATTAATTTTCTTCAGAAAAACGGTGTTGCGTTCAGTTTATGGTGCATTACAGGCTTCCCCTCTGAGAAATTTCGCCCATTGCCACCATAAACCCTCCTTCTAAACGTTCCAATATTTCTACCAAATTTGAAATCGGTATCTTAATTTTTACGACCAAAAGAGTGCCAACAACAACCACCACACAGCCACAGAAACGAACGGAAATGGCTAAATCAATTCAGAGTTTTACCATGATCAAGAGTGTATATACCTTATAGGGTATCTGAAGCTTCCTCTTGGATGTTACGTGCATTAGAAAAAAAAACAATATATGGTGGGTATAATAAGGAAGCCATAGTCGTGCACGGCCGGCCATTAGACACGCCACACTAATACAGCCGTTATTCACTCTTTTTCTTAATAAAACATCAAAAATAATACATTACTTTTATGTAAATGCATAATTTTCCTGAAAACTCTTATATTAAAGTTACTCAAAACGTCAACTAATGGATCCAAATTAAGCAAACTTAATTTACTTACCAAAGATTTTGTTACTTTCCAGTTGCTACCGTCGTAGCAAATCGCAAATTAGACTATATCGCCATGTTTTCATAAGCGCCACTATTTGTGTAATCTACATGTGATTCAAGTCCCCCATAGCTAATTTACTAAAGACCATTTTCCATTTTTTGGCTTGTGAAGACTTATTTTTGGTTAGATACCTTATATGAGGTGAAACCCAAAAAGTAGACCTACGTGAGCCTTATTCGGTAAGCTTAATTACCACACCAAATTTTTATTGTGAATGAATTTTCATCGAGAAGTATTGAAAACTATTCCTCTCTATATAAATATTCACTTTCGGTGGGAACATTTATTTTATGGCAAGGGGTTGAGAAAAATCCAGTACCCGTTTTAAAATTTAAGCGATTTTTGTCATGTAATGCTGATAATTATACTATTTTTTCATATAACGATTTGTCAAAATAGGGCGTTATATTGGGAGTGGTACAGCTCGGTGTACTAAATTTCATTAAAATATTTCCAACATGAAAATACATAGACAAACATCAGACGGGCGGACAAGCTTAGATCAATTCAGAGAATGCGTCGCCGGTATAGTAAAAGATGGGTCTTTCTTAGGTGAGTAAATGAAAATACATTACCATCGGTCAAAAGCAACCATTATTGTCCATGTAAGACCATATTTTCTCTTCCCTTTTAGGGATGAGCACCCAAACCACAGTCTGGCGTGATCGAAACTTAGCAAAATCTATCCTCGTATCCAAGACGTTATTATTCTTCACTAAAAATTAGACTTCGTTGTTATATAAAGACTTACCTTTCACAGCGAGGTACAATAAATAGATCTACACGAGCGAAATCTGATAAGATTGATTTTGGTGTCAGACTATTGTTGTGGACCAATTTTCACTGTGCTATATTTCACATGCAATGAAATAGCATAAAATGTGTTGCTTCTCACAGCAATGGTTATCTAGAAGGGGATTCAAAGCATCAGTTCATCCGATATAATTGTTTTACATCAAGTCAGCAATGTTAAATCAACTGACGTTGTTACTCGATTTCTTTTAAGATTTAATCAACTTATTCCAGCTTCTTAGTTGACTAGTGCGAGCCATATATTTGGTATCGAAATTCTTGGAAAAGTAGCGAGCAAACAGTCTTTTTTACTCGATTCGCTACAAATTTTTCATGAAAATCATAAACTGCAATGTCATCTTTTCGACGTCAGCGGCAGTACGACACCACACCAGATACCACCTGATGATGAAAATATTGTAATATATTTTCCGTCCTTAATATATACATTTATATCCACTCCCTGATATACATAAACATATGTGTAGATAAAACATACGTATGTATTGTGGGGGCTATTTTGCCCAAAACCTGGTGCTAGGGTAGCTCAGCGGTTCCAGGTCTTTTGCTCACAAGGAATTTCTTCACTTTTTGATGTAACTTATTTACACAGATTTAATGGGTTTTTCTCAAGTGGAATTCACATAAGATTTTTATTATTCTTTAAATTATTATGTTTCTCCTGGAAAACATATTCCAAGCCTTTCTTCGTTGACCTTTACAATTTCTCTTTTCTTAGAAAATCGTACTTCAGGACTTCTTCTTTCAGATTTACAGTTTTTCTTTTCTGTATCCAAGGTAAGTTAATTTTTCTTAATCTAAAGGCCTAGCACCAACATCGTTGTAACCGCATGTCCATTCCTTCGCTCAACTCGCGATCAATTCCTCCTCTCACTTACTTCACTCTAACTTACAAACTTGAATAAAGCTAACTCGCCTTAAGCTAACTGTTCTAATTTCTCTTTACTTAATTTCTCTTCACTGTAATTCTAGCTCTCTAGCTCTCTAACTTACTCTGACACCGATAAACTTAGCTAAACGTCGGCTTAGGTTAACTATTCTAATTTCTCTTTACTGTAATTCTAACTCTCTTAGCCTAACTTACTCTAGTGTCTCCTCTCAGAGACGGAGAGCCTGTGAGACCAAAACGAGGGACGACTTTGGTTCCTCACAGTATATTATGTAATATATTCGTGGTAGGATTGGCAAAGAAATCTGAAACTTCTCATCAATGTTCTCGCTAGACGATTATAAACCAAAGGGGAGAAGCCAGCCTTTTTGCTTGCGTTTGTTTTCCTAGACTTAATGGGAAATTTACGTGCTGTCTAACTTCGCTGTCCTTAAATTTTTAATTCCTCACTACCTTTAATCTTTGTTTACAAATACGATACAAAATTTTTTTGATCAAAAAAGTGCGCAAATCGAACAGGAGTTCCTCTTCCAAAGAATGTCTGAATTGCACAAACGTGTCTGATCCTCAGGGCATGCGCACAAACCATACTTTCTTACTGGCAAAAGCAGTTCCAATACTTGCGGGAAAGTTTTTAATAACCTTAGTTAGCTAACATAGTGCATTATAAGACTTAATAAGTTTACGGCCTTTTGGGAACATTCGACTGTTTTCGTTCTAACAATGTTTACAAACATTAGCGTATCTTCAATTCATGTCTTTCTTTTCGTTATAGGGGTAAACTTATTGTGTCGCAACGTTTCTTCAAACCATGGCTTCTATTCAATGGCATCTATCGGTTGACAAAGTTATCGAGCGAAGAGTTGGCGCAGAATCGTCGTCTAAATGAGTTTACACGTAAAATAGTCAAACAACGTCGTGATTTAAAAGGGAACAACAACAACGATAACGAGATGAAATGCCTGCTGGATTATATGATTGAGTTATCGGATAACAATCCTCGAGAATTCACTGAAGAAGATATCGTTAACGAAGCTTGCACTTTTATGTTGGCCGGACAGGATTCTGTCGGTGCTGCAACAGCCTTCACTTTATACCTACTGGCTCAAAATGATGATTGTCAGAAAAAGTGTTGGAATGAAATTGAACATATATTTGGACATGATCAGCGGCCGCCAACTATGCAGGATCTACGCGAAATGCGTTATTTGGAAATGTGCATAAAGGAGTCGTTACGACTGTATCCCAGTGTACCACTGCTAGCTCGTCAATTGGGCGAAGAAGTGCGTTTATCAAAATACACTTTACCGGCGGGTAGTAATGTTTTCATTTGCCCTTACGCTACTCATCGTTTACCTCATATCTATCCGAATCCTGAAAAGTTTATTCCAGAACGTTTCGCTAGCGAATACAATGAAGAACGGCATCCATATGCCTACTTGCCTTTCAGTGCAGGTCCCCGATATTGCATCGGTAATCGTTTTGCTTTAATGGAAATGAAAACAATTATTTCTCGATTACTACGCAGTTTCGATATACTAAAGGTAGAAAACAAGAGTGATCTAACAGCTATTTATCGTGTAACGTTAAGAGCTTCCGGTGGCTTATGGGTGCGTTTAAGATCAAGAGAGTCGAAACTAATGGTTTACAGTAGTTAAGCCAGGGAGATAGACTATAGTTTTAAGTAATGTAAGTAAAATTTTAAAAGTTAACTGACATAATCATACCGTGAATACTGCATTTTGCTTGTTAAGGTTTAAAAGCCGATCTGTATATATATATATATATATTGGGCCAGTATTTTCTCTATTATCTCGCGTCATTTATTCTGATTTTTAAGGTATTTGTTTTTAAATTTGAAATTTTTTTTTTCGAGTATGTAGTAGTTTTTTATGGACTGACACCTTTAATCGTAAGGTCTGTAAGTCCAATGTACAAATAGTTTATGTGACGTATAAAAAACGATGGATTAAAGAAAATTTTTCCTAAACCATAAACAAGAGCAACTAAGAAAATTATATTCGGTCGTGAACGAAGGTTTTATACTCAGCACAGTCACCCTAAAAAAGACAAATAAAAAATTATATGCTCTAATAATTCTTGCTCTATAATATGGAGTGGGCGCGGCTGATCATTTTTTTTTTATTTGAAAATAAAAGTTTTTGTTACGTAGACGCGTCCTTTGAAAAGTTAAGATCACTTACAACTTCTTTCACGAATTTGCAGACAATGTCTTCATTTTCACTAGCGGGAGAATGTTTACCACAGATACTACGCAGTTGGCAGACATACGAAATGTCCTCACAAAGCGAACAAAACGTCGACATAAAACCCAGAAAACGTCAATACGTGGGGCGTTGTGTACGCTTTCGATGGACGTTTTCTATGTTTTGTGCGTCTGGTTCAAAAAGTAAATTTGCATATTCTATAATATTGGGGGACGTGGCAGATTTTTGACCTTCTTATAGACAACTTTTATATACAACTTTTTGGAAATTTATATCGTCCATCCGTTGCAGTGTATGAGCAACGAGCAATTCACATGGAAAGCAAAAGTGTTCCCGGTTTTGATTGTATAAATGCATGGGCATTGTTGGTGTGTTCTTTTGTGAATTTATAGGCGATAACTTCGCTTTTCCGGTAGACGGACAAATGGACGAATTAACAGACGGACGGATGAACATAAGGACAAGCTTAGATGCATTCCAAATTAGAAGCTGGCCAAGAATTAATATATTATATGGGATTTTGGAAACTTGTTTCTGCGCGTTATAAACATAGTGAAAAAAAAAACTATAATATTGGCTTGGTAAGTTGCTCCCATTTTTGCACAGTCACAGCAGCATTAACCATGGTATTTTGTCCATTTATCTGCTATAGTATATGAGTAATAAGCAAAAAACCGAGTTTTATAATGCTTTTGAAGAACAGTGGTTTTTCTCAGTTTACATGGTATGTCCCTATTTTCAATACCAGCCTGCATGCACCAGATTCCGTTTCTATTAAATTTGACATCGATAGCTTGGTCTCTATTCTTGTCATATTTTTTTACCTTGTCTTCCTATTCTTTACCTATTTTTGTACTTTGTTGGCTTATAAGGAGTTACGTCTGTGAGAACTTACAAAGAATTTGGTTAAAGGAATACACAAAGCTGATCTAAGTTTGGTCTATTTGGAAAAATACAAATAGACTGTTTTGCCATACGAATCCTTACTTTTCGTGGGAACATTTATGGGGGATGGGGTTCAAAAGTTGATCTATCGGTTCCAGATTTTTCATGTCGGTTTAACATGTCGTGTTTGCGATTTTGATTGAAAAGTTTTAAAAATTACAAATTTCTTTCATATAACGCCTTTTCCTAGCAGCGGCCATCAGAAAGGTCAGATTTGACTAAAACTGATCTACTGAACTAAAAGGATGTTGAAATCACAATGACCTAGACAGATATTACACGGACGGACATATAAATGAACGTGCGAGTAGGTGGATCTATCTTAAGTTCTTGTGGGTATTACACGCCACAATCTGAGTGGAGTATAGCTATCATCCAATGTTTGTCCGTTTGATCATAAATTAATTGTTCATATAAATTATGGGCTCGTCGATTTGTCTACATGAAAGGAGAGATCAAAACCGTCACATCTGGGGCTTCCAAGGAAAATAGGTAAGCAAATTTTACAACAACAACGACAATCACTTCAGAGCGTTTTTTGACTAGGCGAAGTTAAAAATACCTCTGTTTCGGTCTTTGCTATGAATCCAGTTGTTACGACGTTAACCTTCTGCGGCTTGTGGTACGCTGTTTGTGATGACTCTAAAATCTCTTCCTGAAAGGCTGCATAATTATATATCGACATTTATTATTGCGTCGATTGAATACGGTCTTTTCCGGATGGTGAGCGACTGGCCAGTAATTTCGCGGACGCAAAAACACTGCCCCTCATTTCAGTGAAGAATACGGTTTTTAAAGCTTATTTTCGCTTTAGTGTCCTTTGCTTCGCTTAAGCCATATGCTAGACATAAAAAGTGGACTTTTATCTACTTTCGTTTATTCTGACGCTCGACGTAAAACTTAAATTTTATTGTATGAAAGGGGAAAGGGATTTTTAACGCAAAACATGAGCTAATTTCAGTGTCGCTTGGCGCCGGTGTTTTGAAATAAAATAAAGTAACCGCATTATAGTTCCTTAGGAGTCTAATTTTTCTTTATTCGAGCATTCATTTTAAAATTATAATAAACACTTTTATTGACTTGATAATAAAGGATTTAAAAATTTAACAAAAAAATGTAATTTTAAGTTTTCTTTTTTTGTTAAATACAAACTTACTAGAAACGTCATGCAAACTAGATTCTACTTAAAAAGAAAAGAACAAAAGTAAGAGGGAAAGCATTTAGTAAATTTTTAAATTTTAGGTAGCTATAAATTTTTTTCGATTCGTTACGGGCGGGGAATTTTTCTGGTCTTTACGTTGCTGCTGATATTGCTGATGATGATGATGAATTGCCGGCGAGGTGCTGTTATTGCGTCTGGCTTCTGTGCATATTGTTTGTTGTTGGGCTAAACGATCGGTTACTTCTCTAACGCGTTCACTTAACCGGAAAGTAGGCACATTTCCTGTGGCGATCGGACTGTGTTGCGCTGTGTAGCATGAGCTTTTGTTGTTGCTGCGTACCTTGCGTGTTGATAGGGGAGTATTTGGCAAAGAGATAGATTGTTGAGTTTGTTGACCGCTTGAGTTAAGAGTGGATGATGAAGAGCTTGCTATAAAAGACAATATTTTACAATTTCATTAAATTGTAAGTTTTTAATTGCTTTTACTTTTATCATGACAAGCATCAATGTAATCTTGACGTTTAAGCTTTAAGAAATCCATGCAATCTTTGCTGTGTTTGTTGGAGGAAATGGGCGTAGTTGTAGCATTATTACTCACTTGTTCCTGCCGTATCAAATCGCTAAATTTAGACTTTAGCATGCTAACCTTACCGGGTGTATCGTAGACATTGGCTTTCGCAGCCTTAGGTTTCTCTTTGTGTGCATTGTTCTCCAACGACTTCTTACGCATTTTAACGGTATTAGTAAAGTCGGACAGCATTATGGGTGTTGTTGTCGTCGCGCTTGCACCAGTAGGGCTTAGCTCTCTCTTAACAAAGTCATGTTTGACCATATTTTGAGCATCTTTGACTATATTCTCGGCTGCGTTTGTCACAAAAATGTGACTTTTCTCCAATTCTTTAACTGATTCTGGATAACGTTCTCTTTGAGCTTCGCTTTGATGAGCTATTTCTTCAAGTTTTTTTTTTAGCAAGTCATGTGTTAATAAATTGACATCCTTTGGCGGATGATCCACAAAATCTTTCGTTTCGTATTCTTTGAAAGAACAATGGCACTGAATGCTACCGGCTGCACTGCAATTTGAGCATTCACTATAACCAGAATCGCTGCGTTCGCTGCATTGAGATTTATCGCGGGCTTTATAGATTTTAAAGCTGGCCCCACTTGTCACTGGCCGCTTGAGGACTTCGTGTGGGGGCAACTCAATACTAAAGTTATCCTCTTCTTCATGCAATGAACTCATTTGGACGGAGATGTTGGGATTAAACAATGAAATGCCCGATATGGAGGGTCGGGGGCTGCATGGCAATGAACTGGGGTTAGATGCTGTGGAATTGCGGCGAGAAGCGGATAAAGTGGCCAAGCGTCCCAAAGCTCGTATAGCATTACCAGTTTTCTTTTTTTTTGTTTTTTTTTTTTTTTTTGTTAAAAACATCAAACAGAAAGCAACATTCCAAACCATAAGAAAATATAACAAAAAAAAAAACAATGAAAGAAAAACAAGATAATATATATAGGCTTAAGTACCTGTCCATACCCATGCGTTTAATGCGTTCATATAGTCATGAGTTATATGCAAAAAGTTGGAACCCGTCGACTTGACGGAAATTAGTTTATGGTATGTTATGTTCTTTTAATCAATACAATTGCTTTTTAATGATCATTCAAGGTATGTCTCCTATAGGCGTAACACGATGATGGTCAGAAAAAAGTAAGGAGAAATAGATAGGAAGGTATACTTAAGGCAACCACACACTGTAGTCACAATTAAAGTATGATTTACCGCATACCAGATAAGCCGACTTCATAGTCGCGCCGTCTAACTTTTTGTATACTTGATTACTTGACTTGGTAGTAGTTAAACACATTTTGGCTCTTCTTCAATGTTATCAATTGTTCTCAAAAATGAACAGTTTATTTGAAGTCATTTTCTAGGCCTGTAAGTCCATCTAAGTTTTTACCCTGTACTGAGTACTGTCAACTTAAGTCTATCGAAACAATTACGGAGTTAGTTCCTGCCTGGCCACAACATCTTTATCTAGCATAGATTTTTTTCCTTTATTCGGTCTTACACTTATTCGTGCTTATTAATTTCATTCTTTGAAATGACTAGCAATTAAGCAGAAGGTTTGCATAGCGGTTAGGCAGGCACGTATAGCGTACTTGTTGTTAAATTGTTAAGCGCTTTCAAGCGCGAAACCTACCTGCCATTTTCGTCTTATAATGAATTTCTTTAATTTGTCGGTGCAAATTTTGGTCGTGGCTAAGTTTTCATCGTAACGACCCGGTTTAAGCCACGGAGATTCGAGACACTCTTCGGCCGACCAACGATCTTCCTTGCGGTGTACTAACAAATTTGAAATGAAGTCTTTCGCTTGCTGTGATACACAATCAAAAGCTTCATCATCGAAGTCGTAATCTGCCCGTGTAATGTTCGCAAAGGTTTCTACATCACTATCACCCATAAAAGGTGAAAGACCGGAAAGCCTACAAAGCGAACAAAAAGAAAAGAAAAGAATAATTTGGCCTCAGATTTATGTACATAGTTCAGGCAATCACTAACAATACATAACATATAACTCCAACACTCCACATATCTGTTTGAAAGCCGATGGGTTCATAGCTGATAATTTCGGGCGGTATAAATTCTGGTGTACCGAATAGGACACGGATCGGTGTGCTTGCATTTAAACGTTGAGCTAAACCAAAGTCTATAATTTTTATTTGATGACAAGTACGCGTTTTACACATAATATTTTCCGGTTTCAAATCCAAATGTACTATAGATTGACTATGCATATAAGCCACTCCCTCGCACACTTGCCGAACAAATAGTATACAATCACGTTCAGTTAATGTGAAATCATCGGCCACTACACGTTCAAATAATTCACCGCCAGTAATGCTGGAAGAGAGATCATGCAATAAATTTTCATTCATGCAACAATATGTGTTAACTTACTATTCCATGACCATTACAATTTCTCGATTACTTTCGAATGAAGCGGCCAATTGTAAAAGTTTAGGATGTTTCAGAGATTTCATTATAGATATCTCTTCTTGTATCTTAACTCGGTCACGTGATTTAATGCATTTTATAACTTTCGCAGCTAAAATTCTTCTCGGTTCTTCTTTCTCCTGAACTTTATAAACAACACCGAAACGCCCTTTACCTAGTTCTTCAATTATATCAAAACGTTCTTTAAATTCACCACCAGATTTGATATAAATCGGATTTTGTAATTCTTTTCAAAGATACATGTAATAACAAATCAAAGATCATTTGTTTTTTTTTTTTTAAATTTGTCAAACTTTTTTAACTGACCTTCGTTCCTTTCCTCCCTTTTTTCAAAAATTTGTACCGGTTCACTGGCCATGCTTGGTTCACTTCGACCATGTACATTTTCAGCTCGGACACGAAAACGATATGTGCATCCTGGTTTCAGATTTTTAACAGTATAAGCCAAAGAGTCCACAACACTAGCGATTTCTTGCCAGTTTCTTTCGTCTTCCTTATTTACATCATTCAACTCTTGCATCTCGATGCTAAAATAACATTTTAAATATCAAATCAACAACATTAGTAGCGCAATCAAATAATACAGAGCATTTTTAAGCTTACAGGGACCAATTCGAACGAACATATTACTTGATTTTGTTTTAAAACAAAAAACTTCTTAGTCCTCTAGTCCGTCTAATACGAGCTCAGGAATAAACCTGATACCATTAAGCAATACTATCGCATCGTTTGGTATATCAAAGCGATCAATGAAAATAAAAATTTCCGTTAAAAGTTTAATCCATTGTAGTCAATGGGCTATTTTTGAAAGGTAAACAATTTTCCCAACACCAATGTATTTCTTAATTAAATCCTGTTTGCAAAGCAGTGTTTGTCAGGCTACGGTTGAAAACTGAAAGATTTAAAATATTGTTACGAAAATGACACTATGGTCCAAACCTTCCCCTCTGGGCAGGGCGAGGCCTATCAAGCACCTATAATTGTTTAATGCCCGTGCGTTTGGAGATACCGCAGCCATCAGAAGCACTCCCCGACGGGCCGCACCCATTTAAGCCAAGCATATAAACATCATTCTTATCAGGCAAACAATCATTCGTGAACTTGTTTAAGTTATGAGTGTACGCACCAACCTCCACCGAAGTTTCTTGCATCGCACATATAAGTGTATCTTTGCACTAATTCTTAGGCTTGCACTAATTCTTAGCGATGCAGCCACCCATACCCGCCTGAACAAGTACTCGTGACATTGAGCATTGGGCAACTTGATTGCCGTGGATTCCATAGTTTTATTACGTAATGCTTTAGAATTACGCGCATCCTTTGAAGTTGACTACGCGGTGACTCCCGATACTCTCAATGACCCTGAAAAATCACAACCCAATGGTACGAACTTAATCGCGAAAGTAAGTTCAATGAGTAACGTAAAATCATGAAAGACGATTTACGTTACAATATATACAATAGAAGCGTAGGGAAGTGTAATAAATCCAATACTCTATATATACTTTGCACTTCTGGTATTCTGGACAATATTTTAACCGCAACATATGCAAATAACACAGGAATTTTTTTTTCATTTAGTGACCCTAATAACGTTTTCATTGAATTACAAAATCATCTCAACGAAACGTCGCTTCGGGTAGATAAATGGAGTGTTAATAAGAACGGTATCAAATTCTACACATGCAACCTTCACACGCTCAATAAAGACGCTTGTTCTTCATTTATTCTGCGAATAATTATGTGAAATACCTCAACTTACATTTTGATTAGAGCAGATTATCATTGAAAAACAGTACGAAAACTAGACGCGAGTAATTTGGGTTGGAAACGGGAAGACTTCGTAGGTTGATTCATCCAGTGATTCATCTTAGTTTAAAATCTAAATTCATTTTATATAAGAATATGTATAGAAATTCATTTACGAAATTCATGCTATGCAAATACAACGATCGAAGGTTTCGTCGAATTGTTAACACAACATTGTTCATTCGTAGCAAAACTATCTCTGATGATGTTAAAATTCCCTATTTTCAATTTTGAATTCAACAATTTCTTTCAAAACTTCTAAACACTCTTTCGCAATATTTTTCCTCAATCAGTTTAATAGAAAAGAAGATTCAAAAGTTATCATAAGATGGATCTACCGTTCAGAAATTAGTTAATTATTATTATCGTTTTTTTTTTTTTTTTTTTTGCTAATGCTACGATTCCTATTAATCTATATAGTACCTACCTGTTTATGTAAAATTTACACTTGGACTGTTTTAGCGTTACGATTGACCTCCATCTTACCACACTATTATCTTTATTGGATGTACTGTAAACAATATATGTATATATTGAAATGTACCAAAGAAAAAAAATCATATGCCAGACTAGTTGGGTAGGCGCAGGATCGCGACTAACAACTCAATGGTCGTAGGTTCAAATTTCAGTTACGCTACAGTTTTCAATATAGGCGATCTATGTTATCTAGCAGCCTTCGAATCTATGCTTTGTAAATTTATTTACAAAACATGTGGACAATAAATGAATAAATAAAAGAAAGAAAATCAATAACAATTGTTTACAGAAACATTAGGATAGTTAGGAATTCTATCTTAATACCCTAACATCCGGTTGTGTTAGGTGCTTGCAAAAATTGTGGCCATGTTTCACATGGAGAAGACACTTATTGAGAAAAATTCATACAATGTATATTAATTAAAATATTTTTCAACGTTTTCTGCAACTTTTTCCCGCCTTCCTGGCAACATGTCGATGCCGCGTTGGAAGAATGATGTTGGTTTCATAGCGAATCAATCATCGATCCATTTTCGCAAATTTTCAACGCGGAACCGCGTGCCAACCAATGCAAGCTGCAACTTGTATCAAATTGTAATCAAAAGGCATCATGCTTGGTAACCATGCTGAGCGTGACAGAACTTCGCATTCGGGCTGCAAGAGTGACAACTCCGTGACAATTCTTGCAAGGTGTGACCGAGCGCTGTCATGAAAGAGAATGACCCTGCGTCCTTTAGTTGCTATGGCTGGTCATTTTTCTAATAATACGTCGTTTAATTTGTTCAATTGATGTCGGTGGACATTTCCAGTAATATTTTCATTTGGTTTTAGCAGCTCGTAGTACACTAAACCTTTCCGATGTACAGCAAAACTTTATCGCCATGAATATTCCGCATCAGTGTCGATGTGGGTGGCTTTCCTGAGCAAACGAATGAGTTTTTGCGCTTGGAATTGTCGTAGCAGATCCGCTCTTCACCACCAGTCACAATACGAAACACTTCTCAACTCTTCTTTTCTTGCTTAGCTACATTTTGAGGTGGCATCTTCACTCAATTCATATGGTTGCCATTCTCCTTCCTTTTAGATCTTTTCCATCGCATGTAAGCATCAAGAAGCAGTTAATTCATCAACTGCCAAGTTGTCCGAAAGTTCTTCAACACGTTGAGCTGAGTCGCGTCCAATAAGTTTTGCACTTAATTGTCTTCGAGCTTTTTGATTCTTCCAGGCCGTTCTTTCTCATTGATATCAAAATCACCACTTTTAGAACGTTGAAACCAAAACCAACCAGTGCGCTATGCCGTAAGTGCTGATCTCATAAGCATAAGTGTGAGCGTTCTAGGTGTGTCCTTTGAAAAGTTCAAGTTACTTCCAAATTCTTTTGCAAATTTGTGCGCGATATTTTCAATTTCGCTAATGTGAGAATGTTTACCGCAAATACTACACGATTGGGCAGAGGGACAGACACACCGGGGAGCAGACGGACGTACTTAGAAATGCATTCTAAATTTGAAATTGACCAAGAATTTGGATGCTTTTTATTTTGAAGCTCGTTTCCGCGCGTTGTAAACTTATTAAAAAAAAAAAAAATTAAATTTTGACACACTATAATATTGGCGGGATAAATTGTTCTTTTTTTTGTACCGTTACTGCAGCGTTGCTTACGCCTTGAATATGCATTCAAATTTTTGTACATTTATCTGTTATAGTTTATGAGTAATAAGCAAAAAATCAATCCGCCTGAGTAGCCGAAGGGGAGGAATCTCGACTAGTAGCAAGTCAATGGTCGTGGGTTCGAATCTCAAGTGCGGTAGAGTTTTTAATAAAAGCCGATAGCCTTAGATGCTAGTGCTTTTAAGAGTTTAGTCTTAGAATTTATTTCTGTGGCGAAATTAATAATAATAATAATAAGCAAAAAATCAATTTTTTATTCCTTTTAAAAGACAGACGAATTATCAGTGTGGGCGTGTCCTTCGCCCGATTTGGCCCATTTTAAATACCAACCTGCGTACAAGAAGCAATGCTTCTTCCGAATTCAAAGGCGATAACGTCATGTTTAGAACATACGTTATATAGACGGATGCATGCGCGGTTGGACGGACATGCTTAAATCGATTCTAAATTTGACGCTGATCAAGAATATATATACTTTATGGGGCCTCAAAAGCTTCCTTCAGGTCGTTGCAGACGTTTTGACAAAATGAATATACCTCTCATCCGTCAATGATGGGTATAACACATTACTTGTAATACAAATGTATACTAAGTTTGTGAGAATGTACGCACTACACAGAAGGATTTGCTATAAGCCCGCCTTTTTTTGGATTTAGAATACCTTTCGGAATCGATCTAAGCTTGTCTGTCCCTCTGTGCTCAATGTTTGCTTATGTTCAAACAGGTAACAGTTTTTGAGATATTTTCACGAAATCATAACGCCTTACTTTGAAAAGTCGTCAAGTGAGTAGCTATAGGGTAGTCTAGGATATTCAGTAATAAGCCGCGGCCCACTAGAGTGCTTTTAGTTGTTTTCATGTAAACATAAAGATATTCATAAATAAATTTTAAAAAAAGAAGCAAATCAGCCTCTAAACGAGATACAATACACAGGGCTATGGAAACTAGCACCTCAGACGCGCAGTTAACATAACTTAGGAAGGAAGGATCATTAGAATTTATAATTGAAGTAGAAGAAGAGGAAGTAATCGCTTGTAGTCTACGCATACGTTTGGCGTTGTACGATCAAACATATGAGTTACCGTCCTAGAGTAAAGAATCTATAAAGAATCCTTCCGTCCTGGTATATACAAGTATACGTACCGTTCGATTATTTACAAATGTATGGTAAAATAATGAAAATCTTGTAAACTTACATGAAACCGGTAATCATGCAACCTCCATCAAAAGGCGGACCACACCAGGCTATAGCGACGCGATCGGGTCCTTGTGATATACTCGGCTTACCGCTAGGCGGTTCCGGTGGGCCCTCCACAGCCACTGAGGCCACAGCTACATCGCTGCCATACTCGTTCATCACTTGAACGATATATTTACCGCTATCATCGGCCGCAATATCAGAAATTTGTAGCACAGATTTACGTGCTGATGTATTAATTATAATATTTGAAGTTTCGACTATCGGGCGACTCTTTACAATTAAATAAACACAAAAAAAGCACAAAAATAATAAAAAGAAACAAAATAAACAATAGCTAAACAAAAAACAAACATTCATGTATTTTTAATTTGTTTGCTTTTGTGGTTTTCATTAAAATTATTACGTCGCCTTTACCGCAACCTCTAATCTGCAAAAGTGATGGATGTTACACAAATCTAGATACCTGACGAACTGTAATAATTTATTTATACATAAAAAAAAGAAGAAGAAGAAGAAAACGCCACATGTTGATTCTCCGAAATTCATGACTAAAATGCTAATGCGATTTTTTTTTTGCTTTTTTGATAAATTCGAAGTTTATTTTTTTTTTTAATTTGACGAAAAGCGCGAGAACAGACAAATAAATCAAAGTTATGTTCCTATAAAAACATAGATACTATCTCATACTAAATATAGATAATAGTTTTCCTAACGCTCGCTGCTATATATCTGTTAACAGTGCCGTACAAAGCAAGTGCTTCATACATATACTCTCTCTAGCTATGAAGTAAAAAAATTCTTTTCATTTTACCATTTAGTGATTATGACGAATGTGTTTAGGATTTTTGTTCGATTACAAATTCAAATTGATATCCCAGGCACGCCTGAAGTAATTAACGGTAGGAAATTTGAGAATGTTAACAACTGACATAGGGACGGAAAAACAAAGAAAGAAAATCAACTATATATATGTTTATGTGAGTGACTGTCTTATAAAGGTAAAGATCTTCCGTAAAAGTATTTACGATGTTGATAGACGGACCTACGTAAACTTTTCTTATCTCGCAAAAAATAAGGATATATGTACGTATGTGCATGTATGCGCGGGCGCCTAAGTGTGAGCTTTAAACGACGTTATATTTGCTTTGGAAGAAGAAGTGTTATTTATCGTAAACTTGTGGTCCAGAGGATGTTAAGTTTGGGCGTGTGTGCGATAGGCAGAAGAGATGTGAAATATGGGATGATAAGAGATATGAGATGAGATAGATCCGCTTTTTGGTATATCGATCGATAAATTGATTTAGGATTGTTTATCTGTTTGTCCGTCCTTCCCTCCGTCTAGCGTCTGTTCATGTATTCTTGTATTAAACTATATGAGGTATTTTTATGAAATCTGGTATACCGACGTGAATTAGTCTATTGGAAATGGTTCGGAGAAGATCACCTTTTCGATGGCTTTCTAACCTCATTATGTCTTATTTTGAAAAATTTGTTATATGAAGAATTGCATTAAGAGAAGCCCAAGTGGTGAGATGTACACCCTTATGATGTTTTTACTTTTTTCTCTCTTGCATTTGATGTCGCTATAATCTCAACATATAATGTCTTGATTATTAGTGAGTTTATGTCAAAAACTTATTCAAACATTCTTGTGAAAAGATGAAAAACGATTTGTCGATTGCAAAAAGCTGAAAAATTCCTCCTATAATGAGTCCTTCTCTCGAAATTTTGTGTTTTAATTCAATTATGGTTTTGAAGTTATCCCTACCTCAATTTGAGGTCGAGAGTCAGCTAAATCGCTTCAAAGTTAATAGCCATGTTTTAAGCAATATAACCGAGATGTCGCTACTCATGAGTCTTTTCATTGTTTATAGCTTGCGTGACTTAATGACCTTATTCTATAACAAAATTAATGCTGGCCGGTCCCTTTGGACTATTTATTCCTTCGGAATAAACAAATTGACACAAATTAAAAAAAAAAAAAATGTAGCAAGAAAACACATTGTTTTCTTTTACGACAATCGCCGTCGGTAGTAACTCCAGATTATATTTCCGCGCTAACATAACTTGTATACGACACAATATATAAGCAAGGCGGAAAATGTGTTAGCAAATAAAAGATGTTATCAAATTATACTGAAAAAATGTTATTTAATATGACTTAAAGGTCAGGGTCAAACAATAAAACGCATTCAACTTATTCAACTTTGTGCAGCTTCAGGAGCCTTCAATCTTTGTAGCATTGTCTTGAAATTCTTTAAAGTTTCCGCTTATGACTTTTACTATAGGATTTTGATTACGTTGCATGCATTTCCGGTTAATAACAGTATTGCCCACAAAATAAACCTTCAATTGTGTTTTCCGCTATTGGCAAATAGATAAGCAAAGCGTGGAAAATAACGGAAAATCCATCCACACGCAGCAAGCGAGCACGCGATCTGTACTTGTACTTGTTTAAGCTCCGGTATCAATATATTACACTCGAAACTTTTTCCTTTCTTTTTCTTAGATGATTAACCAATCATTTAGGGGACGTCCCCTTTGCATGCGTTGCGATCGTTGTTGGAAAGATGTGGGGGAAAGAGATATGATGTGGCCGTCGCCTGGGAAGTATGTGTAGGATCGCTCACTGCTAAGCCTTCCCTACACAGGCACAGGGACACAAACCAATCTTTACGTCGTTACGCAATGAGGATTGGGCGCTGGTATGCCGATTTGATAGCTTGTTAACTGCTTGATTTCGCGGCAATAAAAGTTACGCTCTGTCAAACTGAAACCTAAAAATATTGCATATAATAGAAGAGTACATGCAATTATTGGGGAGTATAAATTTTCTTGGTTTATGGTCAAAAATGCATTTATGAAATGCATAATAAACGGCCTAAGCAAAGCATTGCCCGTCGCTAGCAACTGCATTCTCCCAACTCGCATGCACTTCTCCCACTTCGCATTCTAATTCGCGTTTTCAGCTAATTTCCACAAGAATCCACAAGAATTTATATATGCCGCCATAAGAGTGGAAGCACCGTTCGAGCAAAAAAATAAGTCATGTGTTAAAGCCTATCGTAATCGGAATTACTAAGAGAGGAGAATAGGATATTCCAGGTTGCAACTGTAAACGTTTCCTACGCGAGCTTCGCTTTCGTTTTCATGATGACTTTTGCCATCTTGGTACCGTTTTTCATCTTAATTGCATCAATTTTTGTTGGTAACTTCTCCTAATGATGTCTACATGTGGTTGCAATAAACCATAATACACCATACCTATCCGGCGTCTTTAAATGTGGCCGGTGATGGCGATGATTCGCGTACTCTGCACGAAAGTAGTTTGGCCTTGGATATCGTAACGGATCCACTATTCATTACTCATAAGCACTATATTCTTCGACAAGTAAAGGTTCCCATAAATGATTTCTTTTTTGATTTATAGCTACACACGTAATCGAAGGTCCCGCAAACTATGTTACGTTTAGTGTGATAATTTATAGCTTTAGAACACCACTTTCAAATGTAGGCATTACAATTTTATCCCTCTACTACTACTAGCTACTCATACTCGCTCTTAGAAAACAAAACGAACTAGTTTCTATTCTCAATATTATATAAAAAAATCGACCATGCATTTAATTAATCTACACTGCATTACAATGCATCGTACATCGCGGTGAGTATCGAGTGGAGGGATTCGTTCTAAGTGCTGTAATCAAATATTGTGCGAATAGATAAGTTCGCAGGGAATATTCGAAAATTCGATTCGGAACTTTTCTCTTATTTTCTAAGCGGGTCCTACTTTAACTTCAATTTGAGCAAAAAGTTGACAAAAAATAAATTCCAAATTTTATCCATTTCACATTCATTTTCTCCTAAATCAGGTAGAATGCTGTCTTTTAAGCCTGAAAACGTTTCCGTGCACTTATTTCCGAAAGAGATATTAATTTGTTGGAACCAATTTTTTATATATGCATTCACACTTATAAAGGAATACTTAAAAAACTCTTTCAACAAAACAACAGAATGACGGCACAATGGCTCTCGCAAAAGGAAACCATTTTTTATAGCGCTTTCTGAACACTTTCCCCATATTTCGATGTTTTTTGCTTAAAAGAAAAAATGAAGAAAAATAAATGCTCGAAGTTTTATTTAAAATGTAATGAAAAAACATCAGAAATTTTATGTCAAAAACAACTGTTCTGTCTTGGTGGGTGCTTTGCAAAAACTTGCTTACCTGAAATAAATTGTGTCTTTGAAATTTCGGGCTTTTCAACAAGTAAGCGCTGTGAAGTTACAAACTAATGTTGCACCAATTGATTTCTAGATTTAATCCTCGTGCTGTCAATATGAAACATTAAGTGACGTTTTTTCTTTTTAGATTCAAATTGATATCAATGCAGATGACTCGCGTGAATGGCGCCATTGCTTTAATATTTTTTCAAAAACAATTTTTTTTTTTTTAATGCACTTAAAATTCTGTCTTTAAAAAAATCAACGCATCAATTTCATGTAAAAATTTTTTACTGTCGGGAAATTCCACCAAAATTCGACTACAAAATTGGTTAAAGCAAAGCAACTGAAAAAATTGTTTACTAGCACATGTTTACACGAAATTGCAATTGAAACTTGATATCAACCATGCGACAAATATGCGCATGTTGCGGCACAATGAACGTTTTAAGCAGGGGTAACAGACCGGTCCCGCGGCTTACGCATATATCTTGTCGTTAACAAAAAGTTGAACAACTTTGGAAAACGTTCAAGTAACGCCTGTCAAAATTTCATGCCCTTTCCATCATTCAGCTGTTTGCTGATGATTATACCCGAGAACAATAAATACAAAATCTTCGAAATTATCGTCAATAACGGAGAAGAGAAGTTACAAGCGATAATTGATATTTGTAAAGATAGCAAAGGGCAGTGCTTGTCACTATTTCAGGTGGAAGGTTTGGGAATGAGAAAACCATTTTCTTACGTTCACTTACTCAATATCAGAATTGCAAAGATTGAAGCTCGAATTGGAATCGCTTAAGGTGATAAGAAAAAAAAAAAAACTTCAGTTCTTAAGAAAATAGACAGGCACTTGAAGGCGAATACGTTCAATATTTCTTTAAACGAGTCATATGTGATTGATTGATGACATGAAAAAGGCAATTCACGTTCACATCGTTAAAAGGAGAAAAAAGAGGATTAAAATGCTTGCATGAAAAGCTGAATTGCATTAAGAGCAGGTAATGATGCTAGTTCTACTGCTTTCATCCAATATAAGCAAACCATCGGATGTCCACTGACAACGACCGATGAATTTAGATGGAAATATCAAACTAAAACAAATAAGAATTATATTCAACTGTGCTCGATTTTTTTATGTCCAGCACAATTTTTTATATCCACCATCTAAACAAAACTCTAGTCTATATATTGAGACGAGAAGGCGGATCTTTCGCATTTTTCTACACATGCTACAGTGTTCTTCTACTTTTTATCTCTTGTTATAAAATCCAATTGTGCTACCTTTAAAAAACACTGGGTAGCCAGTATATGTTATACTGTAGGCCCGTGACAGGTGTGACACTTTTTCAATACCAGCATACCAACACAATTGCAATAATTTTCAACATCTTCGCCCTGTTAAAAGACGACATTAACTTTTGCGCTTGGATCAACGCAAAAACTACAGACAACCGGATATATGATGTCTAGATAGTCTCGAAGTCCAATATTATTCAAGAACACACAAACTTAAAGTTATTTAACATTTTCTTCTAAGTATTAAAAAAGTTTCGACAAATTCAATATGTCCTCTGTTCTGCGGTGATGCGGATGAGAAATATTTAACCTCAAAATAGACAAACAAAAATTGTCTATCCATACAAAAGGATTGTATGCGAATAAAAGTACTTTCACTTACTTGTTTGTAACCAGGCATTTTCGTTAATAGCTTGAAGAGCATATGATGAGAACTACAATATAATCTCTGACTACTACCCAAACTACTTATCACAACTATACAAAAGAAGTGATGCTCATCTTGATCGGCAGTGCCTACTTTCCGCAAGGCTTATTATAAGAAGGCTTTAAAAACTTAGCTTAGCTGTGATTACAAAGAGTCTTCCTTCTATTGTTTCTAGAATTCCAAGACGTCAAACATGTTATCATTGTTTTTTCATGAAAACTAAGAATTTATTATAGATGTATTTATTAAAAGATGTAGGCTTCGAAGCGCTAACAAAAGTCGATAACTGAATGTAAATAAATAGAAAAAAACCTTGAAATTTATCATACACCCATTATCTGCACTGTAGGCTAATGATTTTTTTTTCAAAATTTGAGATGGCGCGTAATTTAATACATTATATTATATACAACTGTTCGTTATATGCAATTATGTTGTTTCAAATGTAGGCCCTTACACTTATTTTAACCATACTCAGCATCTAATTGACAGGTAATGCATAACAACAAAAATAATAATAAAAAAACACTGCAGTTATCGTTAAACAAATCAAATCAAATAAGCCATAAATGGTAAGTGGTGGTAACGCACATATGCAGTATGTTTTTATTTTTTGCTCTGTTGTACTGTGACGTCAAATGAATAATTTATTTAAACAAAAAAAAAACAAAACTTACCGCTTTAAACCAAGCAATTTGTGGTTTCGGAACACCTTCAAATATCGCCGATAAACGTACACAACCACCAATTAAAGCCGTACAATCATTAGGTCCTTCTAACACATATGGCGGTTGTCGAATTATATCTCCTTTACTATTGTTGCTGCTACTTGTTGTCGTCGTTAGTTGGGTTTCAACTAAGGTTGAGCCCGAATGGTTATCGAAAAAATTGCTCGATCGCGGCAACACCGCTAGACTAGTATAAACTTTCAATGTTGAAGCGGCGACTGCCGACGTTGACGAAAATGATGATGAAGATGATGTGGAAGATGTTGTGGTTGTTGTTAATGTTGTAGATTTGCCCGGTTGATTAACACTTAATTGAACTTCACCACTATGATTTAAGTTAACATTGTTTATATGTAGCATACGAACACCATCTGCTTCGGAAGATTCCAACTGAAAAGTTTTTTATTCGTATTTTTTTTTTTAATAACAATTTTCAACAATAATAAAGAAGATATTTATTTAAAATAAATAATTGTCTCGTCGTTACACAAATGTGTGTTAAGTAAATAGAGCAATTAGTTAACGCCGCCGCTGTTCGCTAGTTATTAATTGAAAATAATACAATTTTCTTTATTTGCAATTAACTGCACACCACACACAATCTCCTTTTTATATATATATATATATATATATTTTCTATTCTTATTTTTTTTTTTCCTTTCTTTTTTGCTTGAATCGAACTTTTGCGATTCGCTGATTCGCTCTCCTCGATGGAATGAATGTTTATAAATTTCAATAAATTTGTATTTGCGGGCTATAGGAAATAATTTAAAATATTTGCATGCACTAGCACGCGCATATACACACACACAAACACACAAGCATACCCTCACGTAAAGTCTCCGACGAAGTGAAAATAAAACAGAAAGAAAAACAATAAAGAAAATCTATACATGTGTGCATAAGATTAAGAAAAAAATTTGGATCTTATTTACGATATTACGATATTAATCAATGGCATGATGATGCCCTCTCTCTTTCGCATTCATTTCTTAACCACTCAATTTTATTAATCGAAAGAGATTAAAATGCAATCAAAGAAGAGAATGAATTGAATTCTCTCTCGTTTATGCTTCATTCGCTGGCACTTATAACGAAACGCAAAGTCTCTGCTAACAAAAGATTATTAAGCAAACTCTTACTCTGAGATTATCTGTGATAAATTTTGAAATATTCTTGATAATATTTAATATATTCTGATAATAACACAATAACAGATAATCTGTAAACAAGTAAGAAAATTATAGTTATTATTACACTTATTTTGGTCGAATCTCTTATACCCATCACAGTAATCAGAACAAGACTCAAAAAGACGAAACGAACTAAATTTTCATTTTCTATTTTTTTCTATTTTCAGAATAAAAGTGGAAATTTATGTCGGGTTTCTATTGTAGTTTACGAGCGACGAGCAAGAATCACGGAAAGCAAAGGTGTCGGGTGGGCGTTGTAAGCTTCTCCTTTGACCGATTTATGACATTTTCAAATTTCTTTGCAACTTTGTAAGACACATTTTCATTTTTGTGAAGGCAACAATGTTTACCGCAGACATTGGCAATTTGGGCAGACGGACATGAATTCCGAATTTAAAGCTAGCCGAGAATTTGTATCCTTTAAGGGGGTTTTGATTCTTGCTTCAGCACGTTGTAAAGGCCTGCAAAAGCAATCACATTCTAATCCACTGTAGTTTTGTGTAGACCCGGTAAATTTTTCTGATTTTTGTGCATGTACCGCAGCTGCAGCTTAGAAATAATGAGCAAAAAATCAATTTTTTATTACTTTTTAAAAACAAAGATGTTCTCAGTTTATATAGCACTGTAAACATGTCCTTCGACTGATTTCGCCCATTTTCAATGCCAACCTGCGTACAAGAACTTCCAATGTTTTTGCCAAATTGAAAGTCGATAACTTGATTTTTGCGATCAGAAATATGTTTGTAACAGACAGACAGAGCTACAATCAGACAAACGAAACGACGAACATGCTTTAATCGATTCAGAATTTGATGATGATCAAAAATATATGTACTTTGTGGGGCCCTTGAAGAATCGTTCTGGGTGTTGCAAACACTTTAATAAGATAAATATACCTCTCACCCTTCGTTGATGGGTATAATAATAAATTATTTACAAACAATTGGTTACAGTTTCTGTACATAACAAGTGAGTAAGTAAGAAGTATGAAGTAAGAATAAGTTAAAATAGCTAATTGTTCTTTTCATTTAAGCCACTCAAACTATACAAAGTAAAATGATCTGTTGATTGACATTTCGAAATGCTAATAAGAGTACTACTAATCAAATATTGCTTTTCGATAATATCTAAAGAGTAGTTAAATTTACGGAAAGTGAAAACATTATGATTGTGGAACAAAAACATTGCTTATAAAGTGAACCATGCCGATCTTACACAATTTTCCTTTTTACGAATTTCATAGTCTTTGTCAACAAATGATCAACCAGAGTTCGATACAGTGGCAAACAAACCATTTGCGTGCTGTCGATTATGGGAAGTCTTCTCGTTCATAAGCATTACGAATTTTTTTAACAAATTTGCAAAGAACACTTCGCAAGCTCATCAAAATGTTATTGCAAAATATAGCGGAATTTATCAGGATTTTGGGATAATTTTCAAAACCGATTTATTCTTTATTCAATTAACGAACGTCATAATAATTTGTTTTTGAGCATCCATGGATTGGCAACTTTCAAACGCGCTCTACTGTATGGTTTTGTAAGCTTAGTATTAATAGACTTTAAAGCTATGTATTTAAAAAAACGCCACGAACTTTTACCTTGATATATAAAATATATAGTTTTTTTAAGAAAGAATTTATTCGCTCGTCTGTATATCGGCTGACGAAACTCTCGATCTCATGATATTTAAAATAATGAGTGGAAACCTGACGATGCTTTCGAAATTTTAATCCAAAAAGATAATAATCGGAGTAGTATACTCATAAGTACGCCTAGAATAGGTAAAAAGATGATCCTTCTTTTGGTTTAGAAAGCAAATTGGAAGATAACTGCGTCAATAAGTTATAACAGGAGACCGGAACTCTCAATCTTGTAATACTTAAAGTAAAAATTGAAAACCTGTTAATGATAATAATGAAAGTAATCTAATCATATGCACGTCTATAGCTGATCCTTCTTCTTTTGGATTAAAAGACAAATTCAAGGGCAACGCAATATATATACGATAAGACAGCGGACATTGATTGAATCATCACGATCATCTCTCATCTCATGGATGATAAGGTCGCTAATGACATGAAAATAATCGCGATATTCTTGCGTAAGCCCTTTAAATGTTCTCATATCAAGAATCGATAAGGCTTCGAAATTTAAGGGACTAATGAAAGTGATTTTACTTGCACGCGCATGGCATTGCCGCAGTGAAATGCAAAGTTATGGGTTGCAATGGTTTCAAAAAAATATTCAAAACACATTGGTATAGCTTATATACACATCTCACAAACATCCAACTTCGTCCCCATGCTCCCTCTCATTGAAGTGCATTAAGACAAAAGCTCAATCACATCAAGCACTTGAATGTTTAATTAGGGTTATCGCGTAATTCTCGGACTACGATTACAAGATGCGAAAAAGGTTTTTATGTCAACATATTCTTCACCTTTTCAGGTAAGTGATTAAATACCAAAAAAAATACAAAAATTTTGCGTTACTTTTGCCGTGTGAATGAATCACGTGTAAAACAAAACAAAAGATTCATTATTTTAATAATAATAAGATGTAATAATGTTTCACTCACTTTTACCATTTTTTAAAAGTAAATTAAAAATTTTATAAGGATGGAACCGTTACGAATCGCTTTCTTTTAAGAAGAAGATGCGTCTGCGAAAAAGCTTAAGATGCTACTAATGTTTACAATTCACAGATTCGATTAATAAACCTAAAACTGTGAAATACCTTCAGCTTTTTTTTTTTGTTTTCGTTTTTTGTTTTTTTTTTTTTTCTTTGCGGTATATAGTAACCGTCTATAATACCTACATATATACACCTATGCATAGCTATTATTGTTACTTTAATGAATGCGTGCGTGGCTCTGTTAATAACACAATAACGCATTCTTACAATATATATATATATATATATATATATATAGTCATATATGTATATATAAAACAAAAAAAGCAGTTATTTTTTATTAAATTTAGGTCGAAATTGATTTTTTTTTTTTTTTTTTTGCGTAACTTTTTTATTTTGCATTTTACTGTTTACTGTGGCTTCTTACATATGCTCTTCAATATTAGGTTGATTTTGTAATATTCTCAATCGTTCACTTTGTCAATTGTATCCCCATTAAAGTTTTCCCACAGAATCACAGTGAAGTCTCTTTTTGTGGGAATTACTTTCAACCGACCGCGAGAGTCATCGAAAACTGTAGAAGGTTTGTATGCCTAAGTGGGAATAACTACCTACTTCTGTCATTTTGAATGGATTCTAGGGTCCGTCCGTCTGCATGTCTCTTTTGTTCCGTCCTTTTTCCTTCTTTCTCTTTTTTTTTCTTTGTCCAATCGAACATCCACAATGCCTTTCTCTCCTTTCCTCCTTCGTTTCAGACTGCTAAAAACAGCTGTCTTTTGCAGAAGGCGGTATTGAACTCTAAGATAATTAAGAAAGCAAAAAAGAAAGAGAGAAAATAATGCCACACTGTACTCTAAAAATTTTTGCATGATTGGCTATTTCTAATAATAAGGGGCTTAAGGCTCTCTGCATTTCAATATTATCGAAAACGGTCTAAAACCAGGTCGTAAGCAGAATAGAAGAAGAAATTTTTTTCTTCTTTTTTTAATATGAACCAATCACCCGTGGACAATCAACTCAGCAAGAAGTGAAAAAAGAATGGAAGATAGGAAGATGGCCGCTTCCTTATAGGGGTGCGTCCAATCGGTAAATGCTATGCGTGCCTAATCACTACGCACAGCCGCGAGCAAAGTAAACTCTGCCGTAGTTGCGAACACTGACTTAGTAATCACAATCCTTATCTACAAAGCTACTCATGCGGATCCGCGATTCTATCAAAATTTCTGCAGGCTTATATCAAAAAATTCGAATTTGAAGGGCGAAAAGTAAGCGCGCCTTTTTTACCTCTAATATATAATGATTCTTTAAAAGAGCTTTTCTAATGCACAGTTTTTTCTTGTAATGAAAAAATTCCATCAAACCCTTATACATTTGTCGGAGTAATCTCTATGTATTATTCAAAACGGGTACCTTACTGTACTGAATAGACGCATAAAAATAAACAGAAATTTTTGAAAATTTTGTATGCAAAGCACACAAGTCATGCACACAAGCCCATAACCAATACATTAATAATGCATTAAATTACACTTTAGGTCAGTTTTCACCTTAAACTTGCAATGACTACGAATCTGCTTGAAAAGGTAAATCGAAAATGTACAAAATTTAAAGAAATGTTATTGAAAACTTTGGCAGATAATGTTTTCCAACAAAATGAATTATAAGAGAAATCAAATGTTTAAAAAGCGAAGAAAGCTTAAAAACAAAGACTTTAGAAGGAATATTAGACAGGTGTACACACACATATTGTCTTATATATGTTAAGTTAAAGGAAATATTTATTGACGACGTTTTCCACTAAAATTCGAACATACACCACTTGTAGTGGTACTGTGCACATTAACTTTATTCGGATGTATGTAATAACCAGATAAGACAGACTCAACAATTTAGAATCATTTTCTGAATTAATATAAGCATGTCTGTCCGTCTAATATTTTCTCTTGAATTTTTGTGTTCAATCTTTAAGTCGCAACATTTTAAATATTTTGACAAATGCTGACATGTTTCGACCCAGGGATGCACCCTATTAAAATCGATCCATTCTCATCTTAAAAAAGGTCTTTTATGAAATATAACTAAAATTTTCAAAACTTCTCGAATACAATCATTGGGTGAAAACGTTTCGATTTTTCAAATTGACGTGAAAAATATGTATCGCATAGACCGATAGATTGAATCTGCCCCGCTCCACCGAAAAGTACACTTTTACATGTCAAAACAGTCTAAATTTTGCTATTTGAAAGTGGGAATTGGTCAGTAATTATAATCAATTGTATCAAATTGGAATTATCTAGATCTAATTTTTGCACCCCACTCCTGTATAAGTGTACTGATGAGAAGTAAGTGTTTATGTAGCAACAACGTCTTGTTTTTAATATTTATGATGAAAACAAGTGAATAGTAGTAAGATCTATGAGAAGAAGATTAAATTTACTGAATTTAAAACCACGTCGGCGTACGTTTCGGATCCTCTGCCATATGCAACCATGACAAGTATGCGTTTGCATGGAGACGAGATATAATTCTTGGTATTTTATCGTGAAAATAAATGAAGAAGTTTATTAGGTGAGCTCAGGTCAGATATTTAAGGGCCAGCATTTTACAAAGGCAAATATTTCCCATTCTTCCCAATAACCTGTGCACGTGCTAGTCATATATTATATATATATATATTATTATATTATTTTTTTATATTATATTATATATATTATATATATATGTTCATATATACATTCATATAATCTTATATAGCCTCCGCGTATATAGAAAACGTATATAGGAAATCGTATATAGGATAGGACGGTGTTAATATTATGCACCTCTATATATGTGTATATACATGTATTGCGTACATATTATACACATTGTGTATGTGTATACGTGCATATATAATTTTGTATTTGTAAACAACTGAAAATTTTATAGTCGGGCTAGACCGGTTATTAAATGCCATACACCACGTTTTCTGACACAACCCTTATTTTTGGCATAAAATAGAGGTTTTAGTATGATCTTACTATTATGGAACTGTATATTAAAAATTCTTGCGAATAAAGGCTTACTTTCCCAAGAAGGCTTTGTGCCCAAGAAATTCAAAAAATGTAGTACATATTCAATGTTAAACAATTTTTATATCAAACTACTATTATAGATAAATTTTTATCATAAAATATTAGAGCTTGCATTTTTCTACCCTAAAAAACAAAGATTTTCGTAAGCACCCTTATATAGAGTTGGATCCAAAAATAGGCGTGGATGGTCCAAATTTGGTATAGTGAATTTTTTTATCTAAGTTACTCTTTTAGTTTAAGTTTCACCGAAGCTTATGACAGTTTAGACTTTCCTACCCTACAAAGATTTAACTTATAGGGCGTATTCCAAAAAATAGACCGAAGTGGTCAAAGGTTGATATAGTTCTATCTTAAATTTCTATTGTATCTTTTTGTATCTTAAATTTCTATTATGACCTGATTTTCACCCTGAAGCATTGAATATGAGACCTTTTTATCATATGAACTTCAGTTTTCACTACACTAGAGGCGGTTGAAAATATTTCCACTGCCTGTTCAAAGTATTCATACCAATTTAGAATGCCGAAACGCGATTGCAATTTGTTTCCATATAACGACTTTTCAGTACAAGGCATTATATGCGGAGTGGTCGAAAAAGTGGACCAATTAAAACCATTTTCAATAAAGTTGGTCCTTGGGCGAAAGGACGTCTCTATATCAAGTTTCATCAAAATATCTTAAAAACTTGCCACCAGTAGCTTGGACAAAAAATTACATGGACGGACTTCAATAAGACAGTCTCAGAATCATTTCTTGAATCGGTCGATATAATAAAAGGTGGGTTTATGTAAAGTGCTTCTGTGAGCTACATACGTCGGCATGTTGCAAACTTAATATTCGCTATACCACACGTGGTATAGGGTATAAAAAATTAAAAAATTGAATTTTGCATGGAGCTTTTTTAATACAACTGTAACTTGTAAACTAACGGTCGAAATGCCATGAAATGTGCCGTCAATCCGTTTCGGATTCGCACAAACCCCTGAGTGATGTGTTATATATAGATACATCGCGACAAACAAACGCCCACTAAGACGGTGCAATTTTAAGCGTAGATCGATTTTTTGAAACTAAATGAATTTCATCTGGATAAAGATCTAAATTTATAAAGATGTTTTCAAAATAAATCGAAACTGTTATCTCTAGAGCGGAGCAATCCCACCTAATTGGTATGGCGACGTAAAAATATCTGCAAAGTCCGACTGTTTGAGAGAAAAGACATGTCTGGGCGTTCGATATTTTCAAATTAGTTGAATGGTTTTGAACCACATCCCTTGAGAATCGGTTGAGAGTCAATACTGACAACAACATGTCTATTCGCAGAAAGCGATAAAGAAAATGTGTATGAATCTTTGTTGCATTATCAAAAAACAAACGTACTGTGAGTTTTCTGATTGCAACTGGTTGTCACTATAATGCCTTCTGATACTATTTCGCATCCTAGGCAATAACATGTTGTATGTATTTTTCTATCTTTCTAATCAAAATAATGCGTTTGTTGTCTTCATAAACTCACAGTGAATTCATCTGCGCCGTCATCTTCAATCCTGTAGCCACTGACAAACCATGTAACTGCTGCAGTTGTTGGGTAGACCCTGGCACAAAATGTTACATTATCGTCAATTCTCGCCAATACAGGCAAAGGTGATTTCAAAACAATTAAATCGTTGAGCGTAGACTGAGTGTTTACGGTTTCGATGTGTAAAGCAGTACACGTAGAGCATTTATAACCTTCAGAGGTAATAACGTCGCAGGTGTATATCCCGGAATCGATGGCAAAAGCGTCGTAGATGCGTAGGCATAAGACACCGTTACCATGATCAATGTAACTGAAATATGATCAAAATTTAAACTATAGCGTATGATATAAGAAATTCAAATTATTTCGCTTACTTAAAATCTTGTGATTCTGATATCGCTTCACCATGCCAAGTTTTATTTTTCCTTGTCCATATGTAAGTGTAAGGATGTTGACAATTCATTTGAAAACTCAGGTCTATCGTATCGCCTTCCTTGCATTTAATCATCTCCGGTAAAGGTTTGATGATTTCGGGTATTTCGATGCGTGAGCTTGTCATTCGATGAAAATGCACCACAGTGGAGGTGGCAATGAGTCCGTGTTGTTGTCCCTGAATTAAACACGTATAAATACCTTCCATATCCTCGTTAACATTATCGACTATAATTTTAGCTTCTTGATCATTAAACACTGTGAGCGTCTTGTCGTTTTTCTGCAACTCTAAGCCGTTGTGATAAAATTTGCAGGAAGGTACCGAAAAACCACGGAAACTTGCTGCCAAAGCCATTCTTCCACCAATGGCGGTAGAGGGTCCCATTAAACGGCGATGCAAGTAAGCATTGCGTCTCGACGAGGAAGCTCTCACACTTCTAGACGACGACGATCTTGAATAACGCGATCTCGTAATGACATCTAAACGCGCTGTGGCCTCAATACGGCCATAATCATTTTCCAAGGTGACGCGATAAAGGCCAGCGTCAGCATAGCCAACTTCATCTACTTCCAGAAAACGTAAATCATCGAGTTCTTTGATAGCTATACGCGCAGTTGGAGTAACAATCATGCCATCCTTATCCCAAGTAGACCACGGTTGAGGATGTCCGTGTATGGCACACTGAAAACGTACGCTTTCGCCTTCCTCCACTACACGATTATGAGGTATGGCTAAAAACTTAGGTGCCGCTAAGATCTGTTCTTCACTACGCGTAGCAGTAAATTCACTTAAACTGTGGCGATGTGAAAAACGGCGCTGTGGAGAAAAACTTCTGTTCGGTGTAGAACGTGGTGTAGAGAGTGGTGTTGAGGTTGCCGACAAAAGTCCAGAAGGTCGCGAAAGTTGACTTTGCAACATATTCTCCTTCTCCTCAGGAACATCGACAATTATACAAGCCGAGGACAAAGACCGACCAATAACATTCTTTGCCACACAGGTATATTCGCCTTCATCTTCCGGATACACCCTTGGTATGCTAAGTGTTGCCTTGATACCATCGTATGTTATGTCGAAGTCTTTACCACTAGGTATTACACGTCCGTCTTTTTCCCAAATAATTACTGGCTCCGGCAAACCTTCAACGTGAGCTTCCAAGGTAACGGCATCGCCATCGCAACATCGCAATGGTCTCAACTGCCGAATAAATCGTGGCAATGTTTCTACGTTTCTGTAATCAAACACACCAAACACATGAAGATTAAGTCTCTTTTTACAATTATAATATCCACTTTGTACTCACCCATGTCGTATAGACCCTTTCTCCATTGATTTTTGCTTAAGAATATCTTGAAAAATAGAGCAAAACAATTCAGAATAAAATGTTTTTAAAAATTTAAATATTAAAATTTGTTTGATTTGCAAATCCCTGTTAACCTATAGGTGTCTCTGTTAGAACATATTGATAACCCTGTATTTAAAATTTAAATCAAAACAGTGCTGCCTAGTTTGAGAATAATTTCTTATATTGTGAATTGTTATGCACATTACTAAATAAAGAAGAAAAGACACAGGAGTAAATTTGTTATTTGAGAAAATTAATAAAATAATTGTACAGAAAATCTTTTGTTGAAATTGAAATGATTATTATGCATGTGGATGTTGAACCAGGTTTTCGCAAGGCAGACATTAACAGTATACCCCAGATGCGAAGTGACACTATATTTGGATTTATAGCTAAGGTCGCAAAAACGAAAAATAGTTCTGCAAATACCGCTGGGTAATTAGCAATTCAATATGTGTACAATCTCGTTGAAAATAAATTATCATTTTATTCTGTTGCAGACAGACTCTGGACACGGATTTGCGAGTAGATTATGTGCAAATTAGGCGAGTAGCTGAAGTAACTGAAGTGCGTGCTTTGGTATTTCCTGCGGCCGCAGTAATCACTGCCAGCCCAGCAGAAAGTCACGTCCGCGTCTCAATAAAAATTGATATTAAAAAAGATGAAATAATTGAGACGTCATGTGAACAATGTCAGAATAAGGGTACGTTGTTTAATATTGAAAAATTGTCTGCGGTAAAGCTAATTATATATACTATATTTAGAAACATGCGCTCATTTATTAGCGTTTATTTTTTGGCTGCATCGTAAAAGTACAGACTCTGATACACCCGCTTTATATGATTTCTGGGGTCATGAAACTGAATCACTGGCAGATGAAAGCCGAATGGAATTCGTGCGCATTCGCGATTTATTTGCCTGCGATGAATTACGTATGGAAGGTGATTTGGAAGCGACGGCTGTGACTGAAATGGACGGTGCTGCTTTTTTAGAAGCAGTACTCGACGAAATGGAAGGACTAGGTTTAAGAGATTCAACCCTTTACAGCCATAGTCGTCCGGCGCTTGATGAATTCGAGCCTTTATTCATACATCACACTCTGTTAGACGCCTGTAATAACGGTGTTAAGGACACTAACACATTTGTAATGCATATGGAAGATCAAGCTAAACAGGGCTTGTTCGATCGCGTAGCAGAAGTTTCAAAAACAAGTTATAAAACTCCTCTATGGCTAGAAGTGCAATATATGCGTTTACGTTGTTCTCTCATACATCGCATCGCATCGCGCAAAGAGGTAATTTTTCGTTTAACAGAGATTGTTAAGGGAATTGTTGGAAGTAACTCTGTGCTCTCCTCATTCCCCATATGGTACTTTTTTTAATTATTTTACTTTATTTTATAAGTGCAGAAAGACTCACTAGAGGATGAGCAGATAGTGGAAGCTTTATTCTGTAAGGGTCGTGATTATAATTGCGAAGAGAAACAACAACTTAAACAACATAAGCGGTTTATACTTAAACAAACGGAAAAATTGGAAAATAAAACTTATCACGAATGTGGTCTATTGTTAAATGAAAGTTATCCATACATATGTGCCGCTCCTGACGGTATAACAGATGATCATATTGTAGAAATAAAAGCACCACGAACAGACCAAGAATTTGAAAAGTATTTGGAGGGGCGCGAGACAATTGCACCTAAATATATGGCGCAGATACAAATACAAATGTACATGGCTAATGTCACTAAGGCTTTATATTGTGTCCTAAGTCCAACATTTGATACTAATGGCGCATTGCACTACGTTTGGGTACAAGCAGATATGGAATTCGTGGCGAGTTTATTGGGAGCTGCAGAGGATTTCTGGAAGGAAGTAGCATTTCCACGTTTAGCAAAAATCTACTTAGCTAATGTCTAAAAAAAAACAAACAAAACCTAATAAGAAATATACACACAAGATTATGTTGAAAAATACTTTAAATAACGATGATATAAATAATTATGCGCGTTATAAATAACACTTGCAAAAGCAAAACTGATAAGAAAGCAATTCATTGTTAATTTCATAGCATCAGCTTACCTTTCGCATAGATTTGCAATGATATTATGGCCTTCGCTTCGCCACGACAGTTAGTCGCAATTATCGAATACGTTCCGGTAAAATCTAATTTAGCATACGGTATTTCCAAACGGTATTCCGGACCCTCGCCAATTCGTCTAAAATGTGGGGCGTCTTTGTAATATTCAGGCTAAGCAATAAAAAAATCAAAAAATATTTTATTCTCTAATTATAATCAAATCATTATTAACGAGATTTAATAGCAAATTCATTTTGACATGATACTTCTCGACGAGGAGGACAAAGCATTCACAAACGCATGCACGACGCGCTCTTGACAACGCAAACTTGTGCTTACGCGCACAACACTCGAACTTTACAATGATTCATTCATTATACGAAAAGCTTGACATATAAATATATAATACGTATCGTATATATAAATATACATATATACATAATTTGTTTAATGCAACATTACGACCATTTATGGTGCAATATTCAATATTATCAGGTTTGTTTATTTTTTTTTTTCAGTAGACACGCTTGCGCGTATTCGGAAATCATCACATTTTCAACATACAATAAAAACGCGTAAGGTCTATAAATTAATCTTAATATATCTCCGCTTACTATAGACTGTAGACAAGCGAGGAAAGGTATCTCATGTTTAGGTTGTAGGAAAAATTAATTTTTGTATAATTAATTACTTTTCAAAATAATTAAAAAATTAACTATTAAGCTATAAAGAAAAAAATACATTCAAAATTTTGCCTAAAAATCTTATGTTAAGAGAACCTATGGATCTTATTGCCATCTTTTATAACCGATTTATTCATAGAATTTGCAAACTTTAGTGCGATTGACATACTCGCTCTTAAGGGAGCGCAAAAAACTTATTTAAATAAGAACAACGAAATAATAAAAAGCAAATAACTTACACTTTTAACACCCACTACTAATTTGTTAGCATGCTTATTTATTAAATTGCAACATAAAGTGTATGCCTTTCAAATCATATTTTTGTAGAACTTGGCATCACCTTTTGAATGATTGCACAAACTAAACAAGATCGTAATTATGAACACATCTTATATCGTCTTTTTTATATGAACTGATAAAGCAACTTACTTGTTAATTCATAGTTGTTAGTTGATTACTGAACTTGAACTGAAGAAAAGTAACAATAATTTTTACACTACGTTTGGCTTTTTAGGCAAAGTTATAGGATAATAAATGTGATCGAAATGTTTCCTTTAAAGTTTTTTGGTTTCGTTCAGAATTTCTTGAATTTCGTCTAGTAAATATTTGTAGCAAATTTGAAAAAAGCCCTTATTATAAATTCTCAATTACATAGCTTTGTTTGTTTGTAAGGGATTTATAGCTATCAACAGAAACCAAAAGCTTCCAAGTTTTGCTTATTTGATTTACGTTATAGCGTCAAATTTTTACACACATGAGATAGAAGGTAGACGGGGATAAATCGATCCTGAGGGCATTATCCAAATCAAGAATGTATATACATTCTGAAATCTATGATGTGCTTTGCCTCACGTTGTCTGTAAACTTGTCTGAAAATCTTTCAGTCCTTAAAAATTGATAAAATGCACAATCGCAACTTCAAAAATGAGAATGAAATGCGTAAAAACGCACAGAAACTAACGTTATTTCGTCTTTAATGCTAAAAGATCGTTTAAAATGTTAATTTTATTATCTTAAATTTCTTTTGTCGTTTTTATTGTGTTAAAAAGTGGTTTTAAAATGCTAGGATCAGATTTATAATGCTAAAAGTGGTATTAACATTTTTATACCGTTAAGTTAGTGCGGTCGTATGTAACGCAGTAGGGCTTAGGATAGACACACCTTGCATTATATCGGTCGAATGGAGATCATAATCTGAATCTGAATTGACCTAAGCCTGTCTGTTCGTCTGATGTCTGCAATTCCAATTTTCAAAATTTCTCCACAAAAAGTTCTAATTTTCTATGCTTCATGATGAAAATTATATCATAATAGTAATTTAACATAAAAAAATTCACTATACCCAATTTAGACCATCTAGCCATCCAAAATGGTTGAAGCCAAATAGTGGCTTGATAAGCGTTATGATGGTTCTGCACAATAGCAATTAACCATTATAGAACGGTGTATTGCAGTTAAGCATCGTGGCGCAAAGACCCATGATACTGAACGCTTTGGTAACCCAAGATCGACAGTTGTTCCAGGAAGCATAAAAATGTGCCCAAAATCGTTTAGGAAGGCCAAAAGCCGAAACTGTGTTAGGTAACCGAGATCTTAAAAAAGTCAGAAGGCAGCGTCTTTGCTGTTTTGGATGAAAACTTTTATATGAGAGTGCTCTGTTTGAAGTGAAGGCCAGGTGCGCGTTTGCTAATACCGCACCAAGAACGTGAATGAGGTTGAATTTTTAAAACAAAAATTTGTTCCCCTTAGTTAGACCGTAGACTTATTGGGTGACCTGATATATAAACTCAACCGGCTCATAGTAAGTAGCGATCTGAAAATTGCATGTCTTTAAATTCATTTGTGCCTTAAACTTTTTATTGCGTTGCTACGTATTATGTTATCTTATGTTTGTTATTCTTGCAATAAGTTGGATGTGCAAGTTATACCCTACTCCATTTGCGGTATAAGTTTATGTGGATACTTGCAACACTTAGAACGGCTTGAGAGAGACTCGCTTTTTGTTAGACCGATCGATTCAAAGTCGCGTTCTAAACTTTGTTTGTCCGTATTGATTTCTTCTTTTCAACCTACAGGCCACTATTTTCGAGATATCTGGATGAAATTTTGATACATCAACTTGCTTTAGTCCATGAATGAATGCTAAAACGCTTGAAAATGATTCGGATCGGATTATTTTCAAGACCACTTCCAATACAAGAAATAAGGAGGATAAGAAAAATCGTTATATGAATAATTGCATTAAGCGAAGTGGTGTAGGGTACTTAATAGTAGGCCATGTTCCACTTTATTGTTGTTACTCGTTTTCAAGTGCGTGTACGCAGAATTATCGCTACACTTGTTTTACAATTCTGCGTGTTCGCTTACGTAGCACCTCATGCTCTTACATTGATGCAAATTTTCATTAACTTTATATTAAAAACATTAATCCAAGGCTTGTATCATATTTTTATATTTTTTCGTCTTGATACTCTTTATACTCTTTAGGTATACTTTACAAGGCGTCTACAACAAACATCTACATCCCATAAGAGACACATACCTATATCCCGCTAAGGTAGACATGCGTCATAGTAAAAGTAATCTAAGATTGTTATTTCTATTGTTTTTTATTTGTTTTCTTTTTGCTTTCGTGTTCACAAAAAACCAAGCAAGCGTAAAAATGTAATAAAAAATTTAAAAAAAAATAAATAAATAAATAAAATGATTTTTAATTCAAATTTGGTCACTTTTATAAATATTCAACAATTGTCACAAAAACTTAATTCGCGTAATGAACTGATATTAATTGAATTAAAAACCCGCTTGATATAAAAGTAAAAATTATAAAAATTACGAAAACTTTATGCATACTTTAAATTTTTAATTAATTTAATAATTTTTAGAAAAAAAAAAATCTTTTTTTTTTTGCTTTTTTATTTAAAAAAAGTGCACTTGACTTTGAATGTTTTTTTTTTTTTTTAATTTTTCTGTTCGTTTAGTTTATTTTTTATTGTTTACCCGTTATTACGGTTTCTAACTTGTTACTGATTTAGACGTTAAATTTCAACTGAAACGAATTGAAATGCCAAGCAAAACCTTTGAATGAGCAATAAATGAAACAATTTCAGCATCATGTTTGCAAACGTGTGTGTTTGATTTTGTCCACACAATTTTCTTAAAAGTGTGTTCGTACACCAGGCAATACCTACACCAAATGGTTGTTTATAAATTGAAAATAAACCGAAACGCAACCAAATGGTTGTTTATAAATTGAAAAGAAACCGAAACGCAACCAAAAGTCAGCTGACTCGCTAGCGACGGATTCGATTTTCAAATCAATTTAATAAGAGAGCCTTTAAATTTGCTAATTCTAATATACTCCCCAACTTTAAAGTTTGGTCTTGGAAATGTTTTAGGGAAATTATATACAGTTTGTAATATCTGCTTCTCTTCATTTGGTTTCATTTTTATTATTCTGTGATATGTGTTATTGTATTTGGCTAGTAATGTTTGCAGGTTGTTTAACCATTTGGAATTACCGTTCATTTTCCACATTAAGTTTTTTAATGCTCTATTAAATCTTTCGCATGTGGAAGCTTTCATATGAGTGTATGTGTGATAATGATTTCTTTGATAATATTTCATCAAACTTTTAAAATCTTTATTGAAAAATTCCTTTGCCTGATCAGCCTGAATATTTTTTGGAGATTTAATTCTTCTTTGCCTGTTTCATAGCTTTAACTATGTCTGAAGAACTTTTAGGTTTTACTGGTTCCGCAAAAGCATATTTAGAAAATACATCAATTCCAACCAAAAGGTATTTATAGCCATTGTTTAGGTTATGAAATGACATTAACTTAACTAAATCTATTTGCCATGTATCATTAATTCCTTTTTGAATGAATCGCCTTCGAACAAAATTTTTTCTGACTGGTTTGCGAATCTCATTAACAACTTGAATTTTACTCATTTTTATACATATATTTTTTTATAATTCTCAAATGTGGCTTATAAATCTTAATATCCTGCCTAATCCTGATTGACATCTTCCGAGAAAATTCAAAACATAATCTTAACAAACCAATCTCAATATCAGGGTCGATGGATATGGACATATCAGCCAATTGAACATCAGTCTTATTTATTATTATTATTATTAATTTCGCCAGAGAAATAAATTCTAAGACTAAACTCTTAAAAGCACTAGCATCTAAGGCTATCGGCCTTTATTTTTATTAAAAACTCTACCGCACTTGAGATTCGAACCCACGACCACTGAGTTGCTAGTCGAGACCTACTCGGCCACAGATTCAGTCTTATTTAATTCCACGCACTTTGGTAAAAAATGATTGTAATAAAAGAACGATATTTGTTTTTGTTATATAGTATTCCAGCATAGGAATGTTGATAAAAACATTCCAACGTGAGTTATTAATCTCCACGTTTCAGCATCAAGTTTTATTGTATTACCTTTTTCTTTAATAATCAAAGGCATTGTCCATCTCG